TATATATATATATATTATGTAGTTCTACAAATATTAAGTTCTCTCTGTATTATTAAATTTATACTCATTTCTATTTTGTTGAGAAATATAAATAGCATATTAAAATGTTTTTCTTTTAAATTTTTAAAATTATGTGTGTATGCGAGTGAAGGTGCTTGAAGAGGCCTGAAGAGGGCATCGGATCTCCTGAAGCTTGGCGGTGCAGACAGTTGTGAGCTGCCTGATGTGGGTGCTGGGAAATAAACCTGGGTCCTTTGCAAGAGTCACCTTAATGACTGAGCCAGCCCTCCAGCCCCTAAAAGTGTATTTCAACTTTGGGTCTCCACTTAATTACCAGTAGATAGAAAACTGGTCTCTGTCTATAGACCTTCTACCCTGCATGTTGCTGAACTCACTAGTTTTGCTGTCAAAGTGCTTCTGTTTCGGTTTGTCAACTATTATTCTGGATTTTCTACACATAAAGTGTCATCTGCAGATAAGAGTAAGCTGGTTTCTCTTTGTAGTCTGTGTTGCTCTACACCCATTCCTTGCCTCGGCTCTGGCTAGCCCTTTCAGCAGTAAGCTGCACCAAAGGGGGACAAAAGACATTCACACGTGGATTTTGCTCAGACTCTTGAATTTGCACGTTTATGCCTTTTGCCCCTTGGCACCCACCGTGGTTTCTTCAGCTCCCAGGATGAAATATAAGAAGCCAGAAGAAATTCCAGGGAACTCACCGGCACGCTGGGCTTTTGAGTCCCTGGCCTTCTCATTATGACCATTTTATGTACAATGCCAGGGTTTTTAGCTGTACTTAGTGGAAGGAAGAAAAGAAGTCCTTTTAATTTGTTAGTTCATTTAATCCTGACAATGAGCCTACATGTTGGATGTTATCTCAGGAGGGAGAAATTAGGGCTTTGAAATTGGAGGACAAGCTGTAATTGTGTAGACAGAAATGCTGACCAGTGCCCAGTACCACTGGCCTGCCTGGCTATGGGATCATACCAAAAATGAACCCCCCCCACACACACATACAACTTCTCCAAGTGTGGAAGAAATGAGTTTGTATCCCAGTAGCAGGG